AAACACATTCAGTGAAAATATAATCTGCAATGACCAATTATAGTTTTAAAATAATTTTGGTTCTTACTATATTTAAACTGATATTTTCATAGCAAGTGACAAAAGAAAATAGATATTTTTCCCTATGAGAATGTCCAGAAAAATATTCAAAAGCACATTTGCTTGCTATATTGCTATAAAATGTTACTCAATTAGGGACACCTGGGTGGCTCAGTGGGTTAAGCATCTGCATTCCACTCAGGTCATGATCCCAGGGTCCTGGGATCCAGCCCTGCATCAGACTCCCTGCTTCTTCCTCTGCCTGCAGCTCCCCCTACTTATGCTCTCTCTCTCTTACAAATAAATAAGTTAAATAAATAAATAAAATATTTAAAAAATGTTAATTCAATTAAGATGATTTAAATCTTTACTTCTATAATACTTTGAAAAAAACAGATTAGCTTTTATCTTTCTGAAGATCCTCATCAAATTTTGTTTTTTCTTTGATATGCATTATCTTAAATATTAATATTCTGATAAAACATATTTTTGAAAAAAATACTTCTGACCTAGAATGAGTTATCTTACTACTTTTATTTCTAATACATTAATGCACATGCATTGCATCTATAATGGTAGAAGTTTTTTACCATCATACTCATAGGCCTAGGAATTATATACATAAAATATATTGTACAATCTGTGCATACATACATGAATAATAGATGATTATTCACAATGAATTTATAGGCTTCATATAATCAAATACAGAAATAAAAATGACAAATGAATATGTGTTGGCTTGAACTCTCTAAGTTGGAGAAGACAAAAATATTTCGAATATTTGGACATTTTAAAAAGAGCTCTCCCAAATGAACTTTAAACAAGAACACCTTGGAATATTTAATGAGTACCTTATGAAAATATGACCTCAGACTTGTTCACACTGACTTTGAACACATCATCATTTCTTTCAAGATTGACCTTAGGGACTTGATGCATTTTAAGTGAGTTGCCAACATCCATGATGAAGTCCTTCGATTTGCATGTTTCTAAACCGCTCCCCCCCCATTTACCTAAGACGATCAGACTCTAGGGGAGCTTCTTGCTGTAGAGACATTTATATTAGCAAACTAAGTTATAAATTTTAAGCTGGTGGTGGGGGTGGGAATAAGGAGGGAGGTAAAAGCAATATTTATCCTGAATAAGGCCACCAAATATCTGCATAGAATAGTCCTTTTCCAAAGGGCACAGTAGAATATTATTAGAATATTATTTTAAATTATAATTGGTCATTGCAGATGATAAATTGACAACAGAATTAACACAAAGGAGTGAACTTTATTTTGGAATGTAAGCATCAGGTTTTGGTACCTGAATTTCTTTACTGAATGAAAGACTGCAGAGTAGAACAAAAAGAGCTTATCATTTCAAATGTGTGACTTACTATCTAGGCCAGCTTACTATTCCCAGGTTTGTGGATTTGTCCTCAATATCTTTATTTGTAAAACAACAACAACAACAATAATAATAATAATGAGAACAACAACACTGATAATCCCTACCTCAAAGCATTTTGTGAGGAAGATATGAGTTAAACTCTTCCTATAAAGCATCATTGTTTATAAAATTTGTTAGTTATCTTAAATGAGTGAAATAAAATGGATTGCATGTCTAGAATGAGAACCATGGTATGTATAGAAAAAATATTTAAAACTGCATTTTTCTAATTCATCTCTATCCAATAGAACTTTCTGTGGCGATGGGAATAATCTATGTTCTTTATGTCCACTAGGGCACTTATTAGTTCCAGGTGGCTGTTGAGCACGTGAAACATGGCTAGTGTGACTGACGAATTCTTATTTTAATTTCATTTAATATAAATTTAAACCTAATTAGTCATAGTGGCTTTAGACTATTTTATTGGATTGTGCAGTTTTAACTTTTTAAAAATATACATTCCTCATTTGGGGGAGATTCTGAGAAGAATGTAGTGCTCAGGATTTTTAATATTTCTGAACACCTCATAGAAACAATGAGTGCAAATTTTGCATAGACAAAGTTTACAAAACAAAAGAACTAGGTGACAAAGAGTCTCCAAGGATTTCAGTATGTGATCAGATAGGGACAAGCTACTGGCAGCTACAAGACCAGAGTAATATCAACAATGGAACATGAAAATGCACAAGAAATAAATGGATCAACAGATAGACTTGAGAACTTCAAAACAGCCAACAGTTACTTAAAGGAAAAGATGGAAAAAGAATTTAAGGACAGCAAAAGCAGGAAGATTTTGCCCACTCCAATAATAGAAGAATGCAGTAGGTCACAGTAATATCTAAATGAGATGATGCAGTCTAGGCCCAATAAACCTCAAAACTAATAAGCCAAGGCTAACTTCTAGAACAATCCTCACATTAAGGAGAAACTGGAATAGAATCTAAATTAGGCAAACCAAGTCCAGTAGAGAGAAAGAAAGAAAAAGTCCAGATAAAAGTAAGGAAAAGGAATAGATCTTAGAAATTCTTACCAATAAGAGTCACAATTACTCATATTGCTCATTTTAAAGAACATTTCTTTTCCATATTCAGTCAGTTTCCCTAGAAATGCCAAATATTTAACCTCAATTTTTCTAACCTCAACCCTTAATGTTTGCTTGAATATATAGTTTATTATACTCCATTTTTTCTGTGCATCACCACAAACATTTCAACCAACAAGTCATAATTTCAAAGTACAATCAGTAGAGAAATCCAGATTCTTCAACAGAATTTGTGTACAATGGATAGGCATAATTGTAAAGGAATCATTTTCAGATATAACCAACTTATGCTTTGACTCAGTGATTTTTTTTTTACTGATAAAAAACAAATAAATGAAAGTAAGGTATAGTTTTCAGTGGTTTAGAAGATTCTTGTTCCCAGTAAGAGGTTTTTTTAAATGAAAAAAAAATGCAGCAAATACAGAACAAAAAATTTATTTCAATTTATTATACATCTAAAGAACATGTTGATATCCATCACTCAGGTCATTGAACAGGACTTTTCCAGCCATCTTGAGAGGTGGCAGCCTGAATTACAATGTAAGCCAAAATGATTTACCTTGCCTGGGCGTCTCAGTATTCTTATCTGCAAAATGGACATGCCATCCAGAGAGGGGTTTTTTTTAGAATTTCTTAATTTCTCTCAAGACTGCATATATGTGTATATTTAAGAGATATATAATCTGTGTATATATATATCATATTTTATATCTAAATTTTGTACATACACTGTGTATGTGTAAGACTTTATATGTCTGTATGTCTGCATATATATTTGTATATATATGTATATATATATGGGTATGGGTATGTAGATGTGTATACTCCAGCTGCTAAAATGTAGTATAAAGTTAATTTTTATACATTGAATTTTTCTACTTAGGAATCTTGATGAATTCATTTATTGATTTTTATAGGTAATATGTAAACTCTTTTATTCTCTGCAACATAATCTCATCACCTGAGAATAATATTTTCGTATTTTTTTTTGTTGTTAGTGTTGTTGTTTTTTGCTTTCCAGCATTATATGTGTACTTCTTTTTCTTGCCTAGTTGTAGATAGCTGGGAACATAAGATAAAAAGAGAGAGGCAAACCGTAAGAGACTCTTAACTCTAGGAAACAAACTGAGAGTTGCTGGAGGAGAGGTGGGTGGGGGGATGGGTAACTGGTGATGGGCATTAAGGAGGACACTTGATGTAATGAGCACTGGGTGTTACATGCAACTGATGAATCTCTAAATTCTACCCCTGAAATTAATAATATACTATGTGTTAACTAAATTGAATTTAAATTAAAAAATTAAAAAATATATTTTAATATTGAATACATGTGAGGGTGATGGACATCCTTTAGAAAGGAGGAAACAACTTCAACATTTAAAAATTAAAGCTAATATTTTCTATGTTTAAAAAAAATTTGGTAGATACTCTTTAAAATTAAGAAATGTGACAATTTAGTGTACAAAAATGTTTAATCATAGTGAATTGTCTTCATTAAAAATTATTAATGTGACATGTATGTTTCCTCTTTTTTACCTAGTTTTGTTTTGAACTGTACTCAACTTAGAAAATTAAACTAACTTTAGAATCAGCCAAATTGCAACAGGATATAATATGTGTTTTATATCTTGTTGGATTTGATGTGCTTATATTTGGTTTAGGAGCTCACATACAGGTGAACAGTTTTTATAGTTTTCCTTTCTTTTAATGTCTTTGTCAAGTTTTGCTATACCTCATAACACAATTAGACCTATCTGCATTTATTTCTTTTTTTTAAATTTTATTTTATTTTATTTTGTTATGTTAGTCACCATACGTCATCAGTTTTTGATGTGGTGATCCATGATTCATTGTTTTCGTATAACACCCAGTGCTCCATGCAGTACGTACCCTCCTTAATTCCCATCACAGGGCTAACCCATCCCCCCATTCCCGTCCCCTCTAGAGCCCTCAGTTTGTTTCTCCGAGTCCATAGTCTCTCATGGTTCTCTGGGAGAGTTTGTGTCAGATCTGTCTCATCTTTTCCTTCAACATCTGGTACAATGTACTACTGGAGCTATCTGGCCTAGATGTTTCTATGTGGGAAAGATTTTAATTACAAACTCTAGCTCTTTAAAACATTAGTTAGATTTTCTTTTCTTTCCTGTACAATTTGCAAGTCGAACTCTTCTGCTTTTTTTTTCCACTTCATCTAATAGTTTCAAATATATTGGTACTTTATAATTGTTAATAATGTCTTAGACTTTCTTTAATATTCATAAATTTTGTAATGATGTTCCTTGTATTGTTTCCTTTTGAAATTGATGTTGCAAATTTTTTTTAAAAATTAGACGTACCAAAATCTTAGCAGTTTAATTGATTTTTATAAAGATACAAAGACAAGTAATTTTTGTTGGTGCTCTCTAAGTTTTCTTTTTTCTTTTTCTTTTTTTTAATTTATTATTATTATTTTTAAAGATTTTATTTTTTTATTTGACAGAGACAGAGACAGCGAGAGCAGGAACACAAGCAGAGGGAGTAGGAGAGGGAGAAGTAGGCTTCTCGCAGAGCGGGGAGCCCGATGCAGGGCTCGATCCGAGGACCCTGGGATCATGACCTGAGCCGAAGGCAGATGCTAACGACTGAGCCACTCAGGTGCCCCTCTAAGTTTTCTTTTTTAATATTAATTTTGCTTCTCTATATATTTTAGGTCTTCTAGTTTTCTTGGGTTATATTTGCTCTCATCTTTCTATTTCAGAGACAGATGATTTTATAATTGATTGGAAACTTTTCATCTAATTGAAAACATTTAGGATCAAATTTCTGTCTTATTGCAGCTCTAGCTTCAGCTCTTATTTTGATATATTACAATATTCTCCTTTTTATCTAGTTTTTTGAATTATACTAATAAAATTGCAATTACTTTTGGTTAATTATTTCCCATTTCCATTTGTATTTTTACCTTGAGCCATGAATAATTAAGCATGATTTCTTGATTTCCAAGAATAAAATGATTTAGTATAATCTTTTTTTAAATTTATTTATAGCTGAATTTTTCTGTTATTTCATGATTCAAGCCTTTGGAATTTGGAGAGGTATCTTTTATGTCTCAGAATACAGGTAATTGTGGTAATTTTGTGTGCATTTGAAAGGAATGAGCTTTTTTTTTTTTTGGTCAGATTGTCTTATCACTAAAAAAAAGGTGCTAACATCTACCACATACAGATTTGTCTTTTTGTCTTTTCTTTGATTTCTGATTATTTGATTCAGTTATTTTTCATTAACTTGTTGCCCTTTTTCTCTAGTAATTCATTGGGCCACAATGTTTACTTTTTCTAATAGTCACTGTATTAATATTTATGTAGTGACTATTAGAAAAAGTGAATTTCTTTTATTGATATATTCACAGTATACACTTTTGCATTCTTTCAATCTCTTTCATTCTCGTTCAGTCAGCAATATTTTTATTTCAGACAGTTAATATTTATTTATAGTTTTACTTACACATGCCCTTCTTATATTGTTCTTTATTTCTTCCTCTATCTGCAAGACTTTATCTGAGATCATTTATGTTCTGCTTGAGAAAAAACACCTTAATGCTGTAGTGAGTGTTGCTATGCTAATGATAAATTATCTCAATTTTTGTTCTTCTGAAATTTCTTTCAGCTTCTTTTTTGGATGGCATTTTTGCTGCATATAAATTCTAAATTGGAAATTTGTTGGATATAGCATTCCAAAATAGAAATTAGTTTTCATTTTGGCATATTAAGTATAACATTTATCCTCTTGTCTTCTGCCCTCTGTTGTTTCTGTTAAAAATTCAACCTTCAGTCTTATTGTTGCTCTTTTGACCTGACATTTATTTTATTTTCATTTCAGTATAGTTAATATGCAGTGTTACAGTTTCAGATATAGTCTAGCAATTCAACAATTCCATATATCACCCAGTGCTCATCACAAGTGCTCATCGCACTCCTTAATCCCCATCACCTATTTCACCCATCCCCCCACCCCCCACCCCTCTGGTAATCATCAGAGGTTATCTGTTTCTTGATTTGACTCTTTCTCTCTTTTTTTTCCCTTTGCTCATTTGTTTCATTTCTTAAATTCCACATATGAGTAAAATCATATGGTATTTGCCTTTCTCTGACTGACCTACTTTGCTTATCCTTATATACTCTAGCTCTATTCATCTCCTTACAAGTGGCAAGATTATATATATATATATATATATATATATACACCATTCTTCTTTATCCATATATATATATGGATATATACTATATATATATATATATATATATATATATATATATATATATATACCATTCTTCTTTATCCATTTATTTGTAGATGGAAACATGGGCTTCTTCTGTAGTCTGGTAGTTCTAAATAATGCTGCAATAACCATAAAGGTGCATATATCCCTTTGAATCAGTGTTTTTGTATTTTGGGGTTAAATACCCAGTACTACAATTACTGAATCCTAGGGTATTTATATTTTTTAACTTGTTTGAGGAAACTCCATACTGTTTTCCATGGTGGCTGCGCCAGTTTACATTCCCACCAAAAGGACACAAGAGTTCTTCTTTCTCCACATCTTCATCAACACTTGTTTCTTGGGTTGTGGATTTTAGCCATTCTGACAAGTATGAGGTGATATCTCATTATAGTTTTGTTTTGCATTTCTCCATGGAGGACTGATGTTGAGCATCTTTTCATGTGTCTGTCGACCTTCTATATGTCTTCTTTGGAGAAATGTCTATTCATGTCTTCTGCCCATTTTATAATTGGGTTAATTCTTTTTTGGATGTTGAGTTATATAAATTCTTTTGTCTATTTTGGATACTAACCCTTTATCAGATATGTCATTTGCAAATATCTTTTCCCATTCCATAGATTGTCTTTCAGTTTTGTTGATTGTTTCCTTCACTGTGAAAAAGCTTTTTATTTTGTTGTAGTCTCAGTGGTTTGTTTTTGTTTTTGTTTCCCTTGCCTCAGGAAACATATATAGAAAAATGTTGCTATAGCAGATATTAGAGACATTACTGCCTATGCTCTCTTCTAGGATTTGTATGGTTTCAGATCTAACATTTAGGTCTTTAATCCATTTTGAGTTTATTGTTGGGTATGGTATAAGAAAGTGGTCCAATTTCATTCTTTTGCATGTTGCTGCCCAGTTTTCCCAACACCATTTGTTAAAGAGACTGCCCTTTCCTCATTGGAAATTCTTTCCTACTTTGAAAATTAATTAACTATATAATTGTGGGTTTATTTCTGGGTTTTTTATTCTGTTCCATGGATCTGTGTTTCTGTTTTTGTGCCAGTTCCATATTGTTTTGATCACTACAGCTTTGTAATATAACTTGAAGTGTGGAATTTTGGTATTTCTAGCTTTGCTTTTCTTTTTCAAAATTGCTTTCGCTATTTGGGGTCCTTCATGGTTCCATTTACATTTTAGGATTGTGAAATTTTAGATCTGTGAAAAATGCTGTTGATGTTTTGATAGGCATTGCATTAAATATGTAGATTGCTTTAGGTAATATAGATATTTTAACAATACTTTTTCTTCCAGTTCATGAGCATAGGATGTTTTTCCATTTCTTTGGTGGTCTTTATTTTCTTTCATCGGTATATTTTATAATTTACCTCGTTTACCTCTTTGGTTAGATTTATTCCTAGGTATCTTTTTATTTTTGGTGCAGTTGTAAACAGGACTGTTTTCTTAACTTCTCTTTCTGCTTCTTCATTATTAGTGTATAGAAATGCAACTGATTTCTGCACATTGATTTTGTATCTTGCAACTTTACTGAACTATTTTATCAATTATAGTAGTTTTTTGGTGGAGTCTTTAGGGTTTTCTATATAGAGTATCATGTCATCTGCAAAAACTGAAAGTTTTACTTCTTCCTTATCAATTTGGATGCCTTTTATTTCTTTTTATTGTGTAAGTGCTATGGCTAGGGCTTCCAGTACTATGTAGAATGAAGCTGGAGAGAGTGGACAACCTTATGTTCTTCCTGACCTTAGGGGGAAAGCTCTCAGTTTTTCCCCATTGAGTATGATACTCACTGAGGGTTTTTCATATATGGCCTTTATTATGTAAAGGTGTGTTCTCTCTAAATGTACTTTCTTGAGTGCTTTTATCATAAATGGGAATTGTACTTTGTCAAATGCTTTTTCTGTATCTACTGAGATGACCATATGGTTTGTATCCTTTCTCTTTTGATGCATTGTATTATTGATTTGTGAATATTGAACCACCCTTGCTTTGTGAATAAATCCCACTTGATTGTGGAGAATGATTTTTTTAGTGTATTGTTGGATTCTGTTTGCTAGCATTTTGTTCAGGATTTTTGTGTCTATGTTCATCAGAGGTATTGGCCTGTAGTTCTCTTTTTTTGTGGTGTCTTTTTCTGGTTTTGATATCAGAGTGATACTTGCCTCATAGAATGAAATTGGAAGTTTTCCTTCCTCTTTTGTTTTTTGAAATAGTTTGAGTAGAATAGTTATTAACTCTTCTTTAAATGTTTGTTTGAATTCGCCAGTGAAGTTGTCTAGTCCTGGAATTTTGTTTGTTGGGAGTTTTTTGATTACTCGTTCAATCTCCTTGCTGGTAATCAGTCTGTTCAAATTTCTATTTCTTCCTGCTTCAGTTTTGGTAGTTTATATGTTTCTAGGAATTTGTGCATTTTCCTAGGTTGTCTAACGTAATGGCATATAGTTTTCCATAATATTCTCTTAAAATTGTTTGTATTTCTGTGATGTTGGTTGTTACTTTTCTTCTTTCATTGGTGATTTTATTTATTTGAGTCCTTTCTCTTTTTTGTTTGTTTGATGTGTCTGGCTAGAGCTTGATCAATTTTGTTGATCCATTCAAAGAACCAGCTCCTGGTTTCATTAATCTGTTCTATTGTGTTTTTTAGTTTCTATATCATTAATTTTTGCTTTAGTCTTTAATATTTCCTTCCTTCTGCTGTTTTATGATTTTTTTTAAATTTTTTTTATTCTTATGTTAATCCCCATACATTACATCATTAGTTTTAGATGAAGTGTTCCATGATTCATTGTTTGTGCATAACACCCAGTGCTCCATGCAGAATGTGCCCTCCTAAATACCCACCACCAGGCTAACCCATCCTCCTACCCCCCTCCCCTCTAGAACCCTCAGTTTGTTTTTCAGAGTCCATCATCTCTCATGGTTCGTCTACCCCTCCGATCTCCCCCGCTTCATTCTTCCCCTCCCGCTACCTTCTTCTTCTTCTTTTTTTTTCTTAACATATATTGCATTATTTGTTTCAGAGGTACAGATCTGAGATTCAACAGTCTTGCACAATTCACAGCGCTTACCAGAGCACATACCCTCCCCAGTGTCTATCACCCAGTTACCCCATCCCTACCACCCCACCCCCCACTCCAACAACACTCAGTTTGTTTCCTGCGATTAAGAATTCCTCATATCAGTGAGATCATATGATACATGTCTTTCTCTGTTTGACTTATTTCACTCAACATAATACCCTCCAGTTCCATCCACGTCGTTGCAAATGGCAAGATCTCATTCCTTTTGATGGCTGCATAATATTCCATTGTGTATATATACCACATCTTCTTTATCCATCATCTGTCGATGGACATCTTGGCTCTTTCCACAG